TCCTCCCCCCCCCCCCCCCCTCTCTCTCTCTCCAACAATTATAACCATCTCCAATAATTATAAACATCTATTTAACCTATTCCGAGTCACTTAGCCACCACCAAGATGAAGACCGAGGTGAACAGAAACCTTAATAACCTAATTTTTTTTTTATCGGTTAATTTGAACATATAATCATCATCTAGCGAAAATAACAATCTGTGGATTTTGTGAATTTTGATTTATTGTTTCTTAATCTTTTTTTTTTCTTGTTTTTGTATGGTAATAGGATTCGTCTTCTTGATATTGGATATTTTTTTTAGCCTTGAGCTTACTTAAGTAGATATTATTTTATTTATCTTGGATCTCTGTGGCTACCTAATATGTGATTTTTGATTTTGAAATAAATAATTAACATCAGAATCGAACAAGAAATTCTAAACATACCAATAAACTTCTAGGTTTGGAAGACTCTCTACCAGCAGGGACTCAAGAAAATGCATCTTTCCCTTCCGCTTAGTTTCTAATTTGGATCAATTTATTTCTTTTAAAATTCTAAAGTTGGTATAATCACAGATTGCGCGTGGTCAACACTCTTTTTGATTTTATTGCTAATTTGTTACATCAACTAGAAAATTTAACTCACCAGTAGGTACTTTAACAGGAACTGTATCTAGGTTCATGAAATAAGACTAGAAAGTTTTACATTGATTTTCAACGTGCCACAACTCTATTGTATCTTATGCGTAGTTTTATGGAACCATGCTTATATGTAGCCATATTCTTGAGTTGCAAAACATAATTCGTTATCATTGTCATATTAGTATAGTCTGTTATTACGATCATTCTATTATTTGTTAGCTTTTTAATGCTACTAACTTGTTAACTATGATTTCACTCTATCCTCCACAACTTTTGAGAAATAAAAAGAATAAAAAATAATAGTATTTGTTTGTTGTAATCTTACATTCTTTGCCGAAAAATTCTTGTGGGTTGGGGTTGCCTCCTAGAGCTCAAGTTTCTTATCTACGTTACTTCAATCCTCATTATTTGAAACATGTTGGTGGTTTTGTAGAATAACAAGGCTTCTCTTCAGAAGAAGAAGGAAGAGGAGAAGTTAGAATTTATTTATGATCTGGCGTACGTTTGGTCCCCATTATTCCCTAAAACAATAATGTAAGAAAGAGGAGAAGGTAGAATTTATTTATGATCTAGCGCACGATTAGAATTAGAGCCTTGCAAATCTTTGATTGATCGTATTTTTTTCCCAATTTATAAGGGGGATGAAGTTTATGCATACCTTAAACCTATAACAAAAATAGCATTTACTTCTACCGTGATGATGTGGATGGTTGAAGAACAGTTGAGCATTTTGGATTTTTTCTATTGCAAGAAATATTCATCCGAATGTCATTCTTATTAGCTTATTCTATTTGTCATTTGATTTACTATATTATACTCTATATATTTGTTACATTTAATTATCATAATATGAACGTATGAGATTTTTAATTGGAAAGCTCTCTTTGAATATACAAAACATCTTGAATTATAGACATGTTGAGCAAATGGTAGTCATATAAGCAATGCAAGAGGTTTTTGCTCAGGAAAGTTTACTTCAATGCTTGATGT